GTAGAAAAATTGATTAGTTATATTGAGTTGGAGAATAATCATATTGTAAGATTCAAGTTTTTCCATTGCTGAAGTAGTTTTTTGATAAGATATTTTTTGAATAATAATTTTTAATTTTAGATAATATAACAAAATATGCTAAGTGATTATAAAAAATATTATTAAATATATTTTGATTTTTCAAGTTAGTAATATAAACAGTTTTAATGTAAGGTTTGATTTTTTGAATTAAAAAAGAATTTTTCAAACAAAAAATATAATTATTTAAAAAGGTTTGTATATTAAAAAGAAGAAAAAATAAAAAGAAAACCAAAAAAGATTTATAAAGAAATAATTATTATAAATTTTTTCTTATATAATTAAAGCTTCTAAACTGATCAGAGGTTTTATTATGATATATTAGTATACTTTTTTGATTTTCTTGATATTCTTATAATGAAGAAAAAGAAGATATAAAGAAATTTTGAATATTAAGAGACAAAAAATATTTGTTTCTTTAATTTTTAAAGAAAAATTATCATAAAAAAATTTTTTTATGAAAAAATTTATGTACAGAAAGATTTATATATATTTATTTATTAGCTAATTGTTTTAAATATTTTATATAATATTGTCAAGTATAAAGTTAATTTATAAAATTATAATTTAATTTAAAAATTTAAAAAAAAATTTATTTAATTATAAATTAAAATAAGAAGTATATATTTTAAATAAATAATTTATATTTTTTTCAATTAATTTTATTGATATTTTTTTTGTTTTTATTAAAATATCTTATTTTTTATAAACGTATTATACAGATAAAATAAAATAAAATAAATAGGAATATAAATAAATTTCACTAAATAAAAATAAAAAAACAAAATATTAATGATTATAATTAATATATTTTATTATATCAAATTTAAAAATAAAAATAAATAAAATATTTACAAAATATTTAAGACATATATCTTTGCTATAAGTAATTTATAAAATTTATTAGACAAAGATTTTATTTTAATAATAATAATAATTTGTTTAAATTATTTTCGTGATATTCATTTTTTTAAAATTAAAAAAAATTTTTTAAAAAATAAACATTTTAAATATAAGTATTTTATATTTATAAGACGTTTGTTATAAAATGTTAATTTTATTATACTTATGTAATAGTCAAATAACCATTTATTTGACATATATCATATTCACGAGTGAACAATTTTTATAAGATCGTAACCACCATTTCTGGTTATAACTAATATGATATTATAAGAATAATATTTATAACTGATAAATGTATACGTATTATGAATTTCAACTATTCAAAAACTATGCATAATAGTTGAAAAATTATCCTAATAATGTAAAAATCTTACATAAAAATAAAATATAATAACTGAATAAACGGTAAGAAATGACATTGCTTAATAATTATCTATATCATTTTGATTGGTAACTACATACTGTATTATGCTCCGATAGGAGCATAGAGAAATTGCCAATCAAATGCATACGTACGCCGGCTATTCGGCTGTCAAAATATTATGATCTTTCATGTATTTCACAACACGTTCGTCACAAAGCTCCTCCCATTTATTGTTTCTATCTCGCAATAAACTTCTAATCTTTGTGGAACTAACATCGGTATCATTTTCACCTTCCACAAAATGAACAAAATCTTTTTCTTTCCAAGAATGGTTATAGACGGAATCAAGTTTCCTTTCACATACATTTCTCCATATATTGTCTTTTTTACCAAAATTTCTTTCTATAATTACAAGTCCGTATTCGTCCAATCCTTTCGCTCCAGTTCTAATTACATGATCTGACCCACATAAGTACATTACTTTTATCTTAGTTTTATCTGGCAAACTCCGTTTGATTTGTTCATGATCGTTTAAAAATTCGGATAATCTTCGGACAACTTGGAAATAGTCAATGAAATGAATAGTAGGAAATTTTGATTCCCATGTGTCAACATCTATCCACGAGGAATCTTGTGTCGCTAATCTCACCATTTCAATACGATGTTCAGCCGTAATGGTTTCCTCGTAAAGTTTATTCTGAACATATAGGTCTTGTGAGGGTGAGATATATCCAGCCACAACTTTGTGGTCTGGTAAAGCCATTTCCAAGCGTTCTTTGGCGATTTTGAACATTTCTACATGTTGAATATGGATTGGATTCATTGATCCAGTTGTTATAAGAACTACTGGAGTTATTTTGGACGATGATGAAACTATAGAGAGATTAGTAAGAAGCTTCTCTATGGGTGTTGACAACATATCATCGAACTTGGTTTCTAGTTTCGTTTTCCCTTGCATTTTTTGTATATAAATAAAATGGACTCTAATGCAAATTGCATAATATTTTGCAAGAGAGAAGAGTTTAGTACGTACGTACGTACGTGCATGAAATACAACTAATTATGCATATCTGGCAGAATGGGTCACACGGTTTTTTACACATTGACAGACAAGTTCAAATTAACGATTCACCATTCTTGCGGAAACTCAAATATACGAAGCATTCGACCCATAGGAGGCTAGATGTGTGTGGTGGAATGAAGTACAAATTACACCGCCCCTATAAAGGCACAATAATAAGTGAAACAATGAATCTAATTTTATAAAACAATTTGATTCAATGATGTATATTGTTGAAAAAAATTTTTCGCCTATATTTTTTTCGATCTAACTATTGTTTTCTAAGCAGCCTGCTCGAACAATTTATACACTCATTAGAAAAAAGTTTTTTCTCGAGGTTCATGCATAAAATACTTAGTATAATCCAGGAGACTTTACGCGATTAATGCAACCCATATTACATAATTTTACTATAACTTGTTGGAAAATTATTTTAATATTTTGATTTTATATGCTTAAAGACCAAAAAAATACTGTAATTTGTGAGGCTTCATTTAGAATTTCAAATTTAAAAATCGAATGATTATCTTAATACATTAAAGTTGGTAACTTATGAATGAATTATATTCATATAAAATTTTTTATAAGTTTAAAAATCAAAAATAAATTTAATTTGCCAAAAATATATTGATTTTTTTAAAATGTTTTTTTATTATTTTTCATATATTTCTTTCAAAAACAATAAATTGTAAATTGTATGTTATAATTAATTAATATTAAGTAAATGGCAAATTAACAAATAACGAAACAATTTATATTAATAAATAATATAATAATTAATTGATTATTAAATATATTTTATTTATTTTGAAATTTTGAAAATATTGTATTTTTTTATTGTATACTTGTTTATTTACAAATTATAATATATTCAATATTTTGAAAATCCTTGGTATTTTAATAATTTAGTTATATTAAATATTTTGTATTATTTTATTTGTGATCAATATTATTAAAAAAATAATAATTAATAATAGTGACTTAAGATAATTATTTGATAATATAACTAAAAAGTTGCCTAAAATAATAACTTGCTATTAAAATAATTAATTTTTTAATTTTTTATAATTTAATTAATTAATTTGATTTTGAAATTTTGAAATTTTGTGTATTGCAATTAATAATTATATAAATAATTATATAATAAGCATATAATAAAACAATAAAAATAAATTTTTAAAAAAAACTCTTTCCACTGATCCTTTTGCCAACCCAAAAAACAGATATTCTCAAAAGATTTTTTGTCTTTATGATAA